GCAACCTTCCCTCCTTCTCACTCATCTTCCACGCAGCCACACTCACTCGCCTCACCCCGAAATCACAATGGCGCCCTTCAAAGACTACGACTACACCCACTTCCTCGTCACATCCCCCTCCCCCTTCGTAGCCCACGTCCAGATCAACCGACCGCAGAAGCTCAACGCCTTCTCCGAGCCCGTATGGCGCGAGTTCGCCACCGTCTTTGACCGCCTCAGCCACGACCCGGACGTCCGCGCCGTAGTCCTCTCCGGTGCCGGCGACCGCGCCTTCTCCGCGGGCCTCGACGTCCAGGACGCCGTCAACAGCCCGCTCGGCGCGGACCTCGGCGGTGACCCAGCCCGCTACGCAACGAATATGCGCCGTCACATTACCGAGTTCCAGGATGCTATTGCTGCCGTGGAGAGGTGTGAGAAGCGTATGTAACCTTTCGTTTCCGTCTTTTGGAAATTCTCACGTCCTTGTTATCATGTCACAAGGTTTTTCAATTCTACTCATTTTCGATATCGACTTGATGTCTAAGGATGAACATGGACATGCTTCATAATTCCCAAATCCAAGCACGACCTAGTCTATAAAAACGATGAGAGCATACAAGCTAACAATCACCCCTCCAGCCGTCGTCTGCGTCCTCCACGGAATCTCAATCGGCATCGCCATCGACATCTCATGCTGCGCCGACGTGCGCATCGCCGCGCGCAACACCCGCTTCGCCGTCAAAGAGGTCGACATTGGCCTCGCCGCCGACCTCGGCACCCTCAGCCGGCTGCCAAAACTCGTCGGGTCCACGTCGTGGGTGAAAGATGTCTGCCTCTCGGCGCGGGACTTCTCTGCCGAGGAGGCGCTCGCCGTGGGCTTCGTCAGCCAGGTGCACGACTCCAAGGACACGGCCGTCGCGGCGGGAACCAAGTGGGCCGAGTTCGTCGCGAGCAAGAGTCCTGTCGCGGTGCAGGGCACCAAGGAGCTGTTGAACCATGCGAGGGATCACTCCGTTGCGGAGAGTAAGTTTATTTTTTCATTATTATTTTTGGAATGGCTGCGCCCATTTGTATCCCCTAGTACCCTGAATCGGGCTTTGCTTCTTCGTTGACTTTGCTAACTCTCTGGCTCTAGACTTGCGATACACTACTATCTGGAACGCTGCCATGCTCCAGTCAAGCGATACCAAGACTGCCTTACTGTCCGGGTTACAGAAGAAGAAGCCTACATTTGAGAAGCTCTAGTCGGCGCCCTTTAGCTAGACTGTCTTGTGTCAACCCTTTTGTGGGGTTGCTGCAATCATGCGGCCTCGTATGAGGCTGATTGGATTCCATTTCCATAGACATTCCCGGGTGAGAACGGATCATGATTCCCTCCCACGAATCATACAGTATACAAGCGCCATGATTATCGAGACGGCATGACGGAACCTGCCGCTGCGGTGAAAAGTACAGCGATAGGCACATGGCAGCCAGAACTTGGGAGACGATTGTATCCAGGACGCAGTAGTAGAAGAGTAGTCGGAAGCATCGGGAGGCATATACAATAAAGACAAGTGATACACCGACACCGTTAGCACTCAATCAGAGTCTGAACTCTCATCGGGCTGCTGGGTCTCCTTCAACCTCTGCAAGTGACGTGTGTTAACGAAGTGTCTGTTTAATATGTATGTATATATACATATAATATTATGTGTGCGTGTAGAAGAAGAAAAGGGATTACTAACCTCATCGAGCTGTCTCTTGAGCAAACCAACCATGTTCTCCTTAACAACGACGTGTTGGTCGTCGAGATCCTCAATAATGTAGTCATGATTGTTGGAATCGATGTTAACGATGATGGACTTGATGGAGGGGTCGCACTCGATGAGTACTCCTAGAAAAGGCGGGGCGGGAATGTTAGTAGGCCGGGGGAATATCTGGGGAAGGGCGGCTGGGCAGAGAGGGCAAGCATGTGGTGGGAGACATCTTACCTCTGATGGCGCGGGGCATGTTGGCGGTTTCGTTGGCGAGGTAAGTAAGAGTGGAGCGAAAAATGTGTGAATGCAGTGATGCGATTCACACGTACCTGTGTTGAACGGACCTAACGTGGGATATTCGTACTTGTGCTTCGCTGATGAGGTGGACGGAGCAGTGACGATGAGTTGGCTGGAGTTGGTGATGGCATTTGGAAGAGAACAAGTGGGGCCATGGTCGGCCAACCAGGTGTCTTGCTTTTGGTGCCTGGTTGGCCCACAATCCACCAGTGCGTTTGCCTCACTGCAGCCTCAGGCCGCCGAATCAAGTCAAGCTCTCCATCCGGTCCTGATGTGCAAGGGCCAATTTAAGCACCCCTGTCCGGACCCTTGACACCTCATCTGGGCCCTCTTTCCTTCAGGGTCGCGTGAACAGAAGCAATCAAAACTTGACTTTGATAGATTTTCTCGCGAGTTGCCTAACAGTCTTTTTGGAATTGATCAGAAGCCACTTGATTTCTGGAATGCAAGGAGCTGATTGTCGGCTGAGCTTCGCAATTGCATTCAGTGACTGACTTTAAGCTGCAGCTGGCCGTAAATTGAAAACTGTTTCCTCATCGAAATCCCCAACAAGGCTCAACCTGGCCACTCTAATACACATTTCCCAAACGGAAATACCGAGGCGAGTTTAATGAGGAGGTTTGAAGCATCGGGTTGCAGGCAAGACAAGGTATCGTGAATTTGTTTGCTGTGTGGTCTTTTGTCCCTCAGCTGCCTGCAAACTCCCGAGTGCGAGTCGGTCAAACTGGATTTGAGCCTGCGGGCTGTGGGTTGCGGCCGCCCCCATCCCAGTCGAACGGATGTTTACGGACACTTGAAATAATGCTGAGAAGGTAGGAAAACTTCTGCATGTGTGCGTGTTTGCATAATTGTTCACAGAAATTTTAGCATTTTTCTTCTTTGGCTTTCCGTTTGACATGCGGTAGCTTATGCGATTTGGAACGAAGCGAGGAGTCTCTGAAACAGCCGCGATGTGCGAAGTGTCAGCGAGTCACGATGGAGATTGTGAGAGTTTCCTTATTACTATGTACGGCCGACGCAGCACGCTGAAGGAAGGGCTCCCGAGGAAGGGAAAGTGGGAAAGCCAAGTCCGACGGGATGCACCAGCTGCTGCACCTGGGAGGAGACGGAGAACCTCGGGTGTGGGTACCTCACAGAGCCGCCTGCAGGGCGGGCAGAAGAGGTACCTCTCCCGAATCTCGTCCTGGGATCCCAAACCTCCAGGTCCTGCAAGCCTGCAAGCCTGCAACTGCAAGATGTAAAGGTAAAGGGCTGAGGCAGGTACGAATGCCTTAGCAATGGCAGAACACGTAAGCAGCCGACGTACCTTTGTGCCCATCAGATGCAAGAGCGACTCTACACGTACCTTACCTAAGATATGTTTCGCGGTTTCGCGGTTTCGCACTCGGCCGGTGGACCGGTTCATCTCTTCAACAATCGATGCAGACGTTACCCTGCTCAACACGATACTGCTGCGACATGTTGCCCATGACGTGCGATCCCCAAAAAAGTAGCCAAGGCTGCCCCTAAGGATTGGCATCGCGTCGTCAGGGGTGCCTCCTGTTTGACGGGGGGTTGACATCTTGACTTGCTTGACTGGCTCCTCGTCGTCGCAGCCCCCGTTCTCCAGAGGAGATGCAACGCTGATTCCCGCGTCCACATTTGGCAATTTGCTAGGTAGCCCGTACTGCGTAGGTTCATTTGCACTTGCAGCTGTCCACTGGATACGGAGCAAATTATCCTCACCAGCTGCATGTAATCACCCTCGACACTACACTTGACACTTGACGTGCAAATATTTGCGCGGCCACTACGAAAGCATCCGTAGCCACAGCCTACGGATATACGCACATAGTATCATGAACGATGAATCCGTAGCTCATCAATAGAGCCCAACCGTCGCATCCCTTCGTCCCAAATACATCCTCCCATCTGCTTCCTCCCTCCCTCTTCTTTTCACCCCATCTTTATCCCTCGGCTGTCGTCTCTTGAGTCCTAAACCCTTCGGTTATCCTGTCTGTTTTTACCTTTTTATGCAGTGCAGCCGCCAGTAACGCACCCTTCGCAATCGCACACGGGAGCCGTCCGCATTCGCACGCAGTTCCCGAGGTCGTCGGCCATTCCTCTTGCGCCCTAGGCCCATCGCCGTCTCGTCTTTTTTATCCATTCCCAGGGCATCGTTAGCCTCCTACTCCTCGGCCCTCCTGTGCCTGGCTACCGTTCTTTAATTACAAGTAGCTTCCCTCCGACCTTGTATCCGTGAGCTATCGGATACGAAAATCGGACTTCCAAAACCCTCCTAGGTACTCCGTACTCCGTACGGACACACTACCTGGCCAACCTTGTCTCGCCCTACAGAACAACCCCAACCTAACCTTGGAACACCAGCCATTTCCCGGCCTCACCACCACGACACCACCACGCATTTGGACATCCAGCCAGCCTGCCCTGCCCGCCCGCGTTGCTTCATTTGTCGGTTCCTTCCTTCCAGCCCCTGCACCGCTGGAATTCCCACTTTCACTTCCTCCGCTATTGAGTCGTGTTTGGCATTTTACAGCCAAATATCCAATATCTCCCCTCGCCACCATTTCTTCTCAGAAAACACTCTTCTCTCCCTTCGACTCTCGCTCCTTTTTCCTTTCTTTTCTTTCCAATCTTTTGTTACGCCGTCTCTCCCTCCCTTGAACGTCAAACTTCCAACCAATCGATCTCTATCTGGACATCGACAGTGCTGCAGCGATCTGCATTCCCCCGGCGACCTGCAATCAAGACAAGAAAACAATTGGATCCGACTTATCCACCAACCAGTGGCAATACGAACCCCATTGAATCATCATAACCCGCAAGCTCCCTCCTTGCTTGCGTCAACCATCAACCCATCAAGCGCCCGATCTCCCCGAACCTCTCGAGTCCAGCCCCCACGTCTTTCCACAAGCTCGTCACCTTTCCGTATCTCCCGGCCTGGCTCCTGCAGCTTGTTCCGTTCAATCCGCTCCACCGCACCTGCCACAGGCTCACCAGCTATCAGAAAGCTTGCTGGATCGAGACAGCACTAGCGAATTCCCGCCAAATCTGAGCCACGCTATGATGACGTGAAAGACCAACGTCTCGCCCTTGCACCACCATAGTTACCTCGACTATTTCCCTGTTCCGACATCTACGCCTTTGTAATACCGTTCAATACGGCGCCAAAGATCCTTCCCTTTGGTCCCAAGAATAGTCAACGACGCAAAGTCATCTCGGCATATCGAGCGAAAGGAAAAACTCTCGTTCACCACAAAACCCATCGATTGGCAGTCATCGCTCCTGCCACGCCTACTTGAACCCTCCAATCGCGGATCTCCGAGTTCGAGGATCTTTGTTTATTCGCTCTCTTCTACTCAGCCAACCCCTCACTCGCTTTACCCACAACCATCATCCATCATGTCTTCTTCTGATGGTTCTCTCGGCAGTACGGGCAGCTCATACTCGCTCTCCAACATGCCTTACACCTGGATTCTCACGCCGCTCATCGTCTTCCTCGCCCTCGGCATCATCGCCACTCTCGTTCAGTTTCAACGCCGCCGCCGTCTCCGCAAGCTCGGCCTGCAGCGTCCCTGGCCCCGCCGCGACTTGGAAGCGAATCGTCAGAGAGGTCAACGGTCGTCGAGAAACGGCCGTTGGGCCTGGACCACCCGCAGCGATGAGGGCCTGGACGAGTTTGGTGAAGCACCTCCCGCCTACGAACCCAAGGCGAAACCGGGACAGGCTTACGCTCGCGAGGGTAGCTTCGAGATGGCACACCACGTCGAGCACACCGCGAGAGGTGCGATGCCTCCACCCCCGCCCATCGGTGGCACAGCAGGAGTCGGCCGTGGCTCTCTGCCTCCGGACTACGGCACAGCTACCGGCTCCACATCCTCTTCAACTCCGCCGCCTGCCGTTACCAGCCCGCCTACGGCTATGACTAGGCACTAATACGATCACGCACCCACCACCACTTGGAGTTATCAACACCGATCAGCTCTCACTTGTCCAACTTCTTTTTTTTTCATCGGCGTTACAACGAGGCACCAAAAGGGGCGTTTCAGGGAAAGCACAGCAATGATACCATGTTTGAGTTGGGAATGGGTTTCTTTTTTTTATCAGAGCCACAGAGCATACAAGCGCCGGGGGGGGGGGGGATCACACAAACATCATTGCATCGACACATTACGAGAGACAGTCAACGTCTGGGATACGGGTGGGAGGAGGACTGAGGGGTGTTGAAATGGACTGGTCTGTTGCGTAGGCTACGGGAAAACTGAAGCCCGCAGAGGATCTTTGGTGAAACACCATGCATTCGCAGACAGAAAGCCACAATTGTTGATACTTAGGCTGCATGCTGCATGCTGCATACTCCATGTCTATTGTAGCCACTACAGTATTGGTAGCCAGGACTCAAATAAAAAAGAAGTCAAATAACACTGATTGTACGGGGGTTGTGATCATACCCCTCCCTGTGCTTCATTTAACCGTGCTTTATTCTGCGTAGTAGTACCGCGTCTTTTGCGCCATGAAGGGCAACTTTAAGATGAAGACCACTGGAGACACTTTTTGCTCGGGCATAGAACTGATGCGTCCCGCCTGGTGCTAAGAGTTGCGTTGCTTGGTTGCTTCCAAGGGCTGACATGGAATAGAGAGGCATGGACGATTTGGTTTGTGGAGCCCATGCTATCTCTGCCAGGGGGGGGGGGGGTTCCCACTCTCCAAGCTCAAGTTCTCGTCTGTTCCAAAGTCTTGAGGTTTTTGGTGACTTGGCCTTTGCAGGTTCCGTGGTCTCTTAGTAGTGGTGTGAAATTCATGGCCAAACGAAGAGTGCTCGAGAGGGGGAAACTGCTAGAGAGAAAGGACTAGTAGAAGGAGTCGGATGACGGTTTTGTTCTGATCCAGGAGGCATCTTGACTTCCGCTCGCAACGTTTTGAGGTATTCGCGAATAGCTAATGACGGCGGTAGGGGTAATGCAGGATCTGCGATGAGTGTCTTGAAGAGCTATGGCGACGAGATAGGGAGACCAGTAGGCCCGCAGGGTTCCTTTAACCGCAACCTTGCGGTGGAGGAGAAATGACCTATGAGGGGTATAAATACGTTTACGAGATAGCCATCGACGAGTTGTTTCTTCAACTAGTCCAGATTCTTAAGCATCTCGGTAGTGATAGCAGAACTCGCACGCTGGGCGGTCTGTATGCTCAAGCAGAGGATGTGGCTCCAATGAAACCACAGAGAGCGAGAAAGAACATAGTATCAATACAGCAGGTTAGTTGTCGTTGCCCATGGCTCATTGCTTATTCAAGAGGGAATATAAAGTGGTAGGCAAATGAGAAGGAGTATTGGGTTATATGTAGGTAGGTACATCGCCAAGCAATGTCACTGGACAAGCCGTTGGCTCTTGAGACAGCCGGGCATCCTTTCTATATCAAACCGAGGCCGCAACTTTCGCCTTTGCGGGCATACTAGCCGGGCGGCTTGGGACTGTGTCCAGGACAAAGACAGATGAAGGGCGAGATGTAGAATCGGTACGGTAGGGCTCATTATGTAGTACCCTTTTTTGAGACAGAAAAGATACAGACGAGGTGAAGAGAAGGAACTCACTAATCGCGAGGCTATGCTCCTTCATCGTAGGTTTCATAGAACTGACGCGCTTGAAAGCTGTGTGGCATCGCTGTTGAGGCTTCAGGCGCTACTAAAGAGCCGCCCCGAAATCGTAGCCATGCTTGAGTCTCTGTTGAAGCAGACGACATGATACAATACCAGTCGATTTGCGAGTTGAGGCAACTTAGTTGACTGAGCTCTCACATCTTTAGAGTCTGATTTGTATCAAAGCACTGGTAGGCTGGCAGTGAGCTTCAAGAGGCTGGTTCATAAGCCTCTCGAGCCAGCTTGTCTTTCTGATATTGCCGATGGCAAGGATCGAAGGTTCTGGAATTCAATCAATGGATGTATCCGATCAGCTCCTAGGCCTTGTCTTTTCCAAAGAAAACAAGTGACTGTTGTAGTTGATCAGAACCACAAGGCACCCAATAGGTATCAACGGAATGATACGTACTATTTAGCTCCATCTGCCACTTACCTCTTATTCCAGGGCTGATACAATATTAGTACTGATTGTAGCCTAAAGCCATCGCAGTGTGTCTTGCACCTACCTTAAAGAGGAAGAAATAGGACAAGGTTCGGTCCCTCGTCTGGTTGGCCGGTCGTTCCTGTCAACGCTTGACAATTCCCTTCGCAAGCTGTCCGATTCAAGCTCACACTAGACCGAGAGTATCGAGAACGTATGAAAGAAAATGAAGTCAATCACTGCTCTAGGCGGCAGTCATTTGTTCTATGTTGTGATGTCACAGGCGGGTGGTTGGGTTCTGAACCTGGACTAATAGATTGTTACGCAGCGACATGTCTCCCCACCTGGGATACCCGCTGGACACCCCTCGTGGTCAAGGAAGTTATGTACGGTCAATTCACTGGCTGGATCGCGTTGATGAATCAGAAGGCCAGTAAGTTGGGCAGAATCTTGTCCCCAACAACATAGGTAGTAAGCGCCGACAGGAACGGGGGAGGGCGCGCGAGCGACGAGCTACGATAACAAAAGACCAGCTGACTGAATTGCCGATTTCATTGGGAAATGTTTTCCAGGACTGTCAAAGTCATTATCTGGAGCTGCTTGAACTCACGCCCACGAAAGACAGCTTCCTGATCCCGAAGACTCGCCGTCGTCGTTGTTAATTGTTTCCCACAACGCCCTCCGATCCATGAGATTGCCGCAAGAAACCAATTTATTGGCTTTGGCAGAAACGGATTCAGACCATCCGTGTCCTGGGCGCAAGTCAAATAAAGAAAAGTGTTGTATCTCTGCCTAAAATCCCCCCTTGCGTTACAAGTTCTGAAGTCCGTTTCCTGCCGACCTGTAAACCAGCGATAACAGAGCGTAGTCGTAACAGCCCAGCAAGTTCCTTGAGAGGGGTTTTATTACGCCAGCCACAGTAACCGGTCGACTAGCGCACAGCCTGGTGACAATACCGATAGGAGGTCACTCCTCGGTTCCTAGATTCAAAAGTTCCAAGTTTTATGTTAGCTCCCGCATCGTGGACGATATCTGCGTGAGGAGGGTTTAGTTACTTAGCATTCTGTGCTACTAAACTCTGAGTTCTTTGTCGCCACTTCTAGTTTATATTGCGAGGCATAATAAGGCAAGCGTCACCTAGAAGGCATGGAACGGTTGTTGGAGGGTTGTTCTACAAGGATAGAGCATTGATACCTTTAGATCTCAGTGGTTCGGGAATCGGAGATAGGTGGCGATCGAAGGGAAGCAGCGGTTCGTGAGGCTGGAGATGAAGTCGCTGGCCTGGGGAGTAAATCTCCTCATGGTCGAGCAGAATGCCTCCCTCTTCGCCGAGACGCGTGGCAGCTGTTTCCTTAGGAGAGAGAGAAGACATATTGATTTCGTTTCAAGGACTGATTTCTGCCACCCTCGGTTGCCTGTCTGTTACACGTATGAGCTGGGTGGAAAGGGGCCACTACCGAGGCCCTAATTCAAGCAGAAAACCCAATAGATGGCTGTTCGTCGCATGCTCTTCGTCACTCGCTTGTAGCTTGGTATTATTCAAGTACCAATACTCACAATTTGATAAAGCTACTCTCGGCTTCTGTGCCCTCACCCCTGCCAATTTCTGCAGCCGCATGGTCTTGTTCGGATTACCTCTCAAACAGCTTGATAGGCCTGTCGTACAAACTCTCTACAAATGACTACGCTGACTCGCAACGAACTGAAGGATCGTCGCTCTGTAATCCCGAGAGATATCACCGAGGTATAAATACATTTGTGTGCTTTACACTGGACGCAGGAACACTTCCGGGAGTCGACACTATCTTGAATCTGCGCTCATATAATGGATTCGCGGCTTGTTTCCCTCTGTCCGTGACTAGAGAGCGACGAAATAGTCATTGCCGGGAGAGTAGGTAATAAGGAATCAGGGCGGCTAAGAGGAAGAAGGATAGATAAAGGCTATAGAGCACTGCCTGCCTTTCGTATTCAAGGTATTGAGGCTGATGCACGTCAGCAACAGCAGGTGTTTCTTCGCATACCTCATCGAGTCGGCAACAAGGCTCCTTTTCGCAGAGAACTGATGGGCTCAAGCACCTTAATATAAATACAGGCCAGGACGAGGGCGAAAGCGCCCGTTCAGGATATGCCTCAAGCGATGGTTCCCTCAGATTCATGAGGCACACAGAGCAGAGGGTATACTGGTCACAGATTCGAAGGAAGGTACACTTCCCTGGTGCGGTTCAAATTGGCCGGGATCACGTAGCCTGGTGATTGAACGGGTGATGAAGCAACTGGAATGCTAGATTTTCGTGAGAAATTGGTTTGAATCAACGCCCGAGCTCGTTGAATGATTTTCTCTTTGCAACCATTCGCCGCATCTGTAGCGTCAGGACAAGCTGTTCGGAAAGTGGCGAGATATCGTCGATTGCCAAGTTTTCACATCGCAGCCTCACTGATGGAGTGGCCCAAGAAAAAGCTAAGTCATATGTGGGAGGGGGCATTGAAGTGACTCCTGCTTTTCCTGTGGATTGTTGGTGCATCTGCAACAAGACAGATGAGGTTTCTCTATTGGCAGCGCCCATGTTCAACTCCTATTACTTCCATTCACACTGGGACATTCTCTGATTGCATTAGAAATCTTGATTAACCCTTCTTGCGCTACATACATGAAGGCGGTGCGTGATTTAAGGAGATATAGATGGTTTATTTCTACGGTCCCGGACAGATGATTGGGTTTACAGAGGCTTACAGACAGGCCTCAAGGCGCTTGAGACGCAGAAGCTTCTGTCGTTGGCAAGAAATGTCGGACATTACGATGCAACAGGTCTTCAGGTCAGCCCTTGCCACTCAAAGATGAATGGGCTCGATCGGTCAGAAAATCCTTTACTGACCGTTTCACTTCAACATGAGCAACCTGCTTCGGTGGGTTCGTGAGGCTGTGAAGTCTGAGGACGGCACACAAGGGCATACCGCAGACTGGCTTAGACACTCACGATTTTGACCTCGGATAAGTACAAACAGTCAGTCATCACCCATATCTCTAAGTTTCCACACATCGAGATGAAGTGGCCCTACAAGTTACCGGAGAGATTGGCCACTGTATCACAAAAGAAAGGCCTCCGGAAGCACAGTGGTTGGTAAACGTGATCAAGAATATTCACTCAGAAGCAAGAACTCTCCGCCCGGACAGGAACATAAAATCTCCAATTAACATAATCGAGGAGGTTAAATGGATGACTTAATACAATATGTGTTCTCGGCGTTAGGCAAAGCCCCGCGAAACATATTCGCCAAGCTTCGGAGTCGGTGCGCCCGTAGATCATACAGAAACCGATAACCAAGCCGTGGCATGACCAAAGCTCCATAGAAACAAAAACATGAGAGAGCAAATATCATCGCAAGGGCCATGCAGACGGGGTGGCGGGCACAAGTGAAGTAGTTATGTACTTTATACTAACCACCGTTGCAGATCAATATGTGAGGTCTCTTAAGAAGGTCCTTCGTGCTTCAGATTTTCGTGTTTCTTTTGTAGATCTGCCGGGTCCGGGGCCCCCCGGACATCCATGTGACCCGTGCCAAGAGGGAAATGTACCGCAGTGTCCGGGCCCCCTCCCCCAGAGAATGAGAGGAGGCCCACGCGGGATTCGGTTCCCGGCAACATCGAGAGGGAGAGAGCAGGTCTTTCTGAAACCGGCGGCGAAGGAACAAAAAGGGTTGGGCCGCACGAGATTTTCGGATTCGGGTACGGAGCTGAACCTTCGGACATGAGTACTCATCACGGCCGAATACTTTGACGAATCGCAGGCCTGGGATCCAGGCCTTTCATGATGACAATCCCAAAGAGGAGTGGGCAGATAGTTGAAGTGGTAAGAAGACTGTACACGTTTGTTGGTTCACTCTCATTTGTACGCTCACTCCCCTCGTGTGATTGTTTACACTTTCTCATTCACAAGAACCGAAAGTACAGTATGATACATGGCGAGATTTATATACGCCCATGGATGCTCGCTTGCTCGTAAATCCCATCTCACAGGACCGCATTCTATACACAGGTGGTATGCCAAGGATATCGAAGATTCGTCAAGGCAACATGAGACTCGAAAGAGAGTCCTTGCACGGCCAGCGTGTCAAGAAGTTGGTTGAGTCCGAAAAGAAAAGCAGAGGTTTCCGCCCTATCCCGTCCCATCATGCGTCGTGAAATGTTCGTCCGTACAAATACATAACAGTAACACGATATGTACACAAGCCAGTGATCCGTCCATTCATTTTCCTTCAGTAGATGACCGTCACTCTCTTACGCCGACGGGTGGGCTTCTGCTCGGCGCCCATCATGGGAGGTCCGGGAATGGGGTAGTCAAGGTTGTCCTTGTAGATGTTGAACTTGATGCCCTCATCGTTGGCCTTGTACAGCTCCGTCGCCTTGACGCCGGGGGGCTTCTCGGACCCGCCACCCTGGACGTCGATGTTGAGGCACTGCGGATAGTTTTGCGCGCCGCCCTCGCGACCGGCCTCGTGCAGCGCAATTGTCTCGTGGCGGAGGACGTACTGGCCCGGTGCGATGTTTGCCGGGATCGTCATCGTCCACGACTTATTGTTAGATAGCATGTCGTCCGAACCCCACTTGCCAGGCGCCTTGGCGCCATCGACGACGCCGACAGCGTCAATCTTGAAGAATTGCAGGTCGGCCTTGTTGACCTTGGCGCAGTCGCCGTTGCAGGGGGCCAGGTAGTCCATCATCGGTCCGTGGTGCGACTCGGGCCAGTCGGTCCAGAAGACGGTGACGTTGGAGCCCGCTGTGACTTTTGCAGCGATCGGTGCCGGTTCCGCGCTGACGTGGCAGATGATGTCTGCGTCTGCGTACTTGTCTACGGCAACGAAACCGTTGGACAGATCTTTTGGGATAGACCATCCTATGACTTGTGGCGGAGGCTTCTTGTACTGCATCTGAGGGCTGTAGCCTTCATAGCTGGAGGGGTAGGATCGGGTTAGTGAAGATGAACCAAAGGTGAGTGAGGTATCGGATCTGGACTTACAAGACTCCATCTGCCATAAGGCCGTTTACTGTGCCATGGGCACTGACGGTGTGAAGAGCGGCCGAGGCCAAGAAGGCATACTTCAAGGCAGACATGATAGAATCCTTGCGTATTCGTGATGTGTGGCTTCTTCAGGTTCCGAGGTTGCGGCTTGGACAAGTCTGCGAGAAAGAAAAACTAGGGTTACGTTTTAAGGATTGTTGTGACTTATATGTTCGTTCTCAGCGAGGGATCAGCGACAGTTTGTGGGGGAAAAGGAGTGTAATTAGTCGACCAGCGCACTAGAGTATTATCAAAGAATGTGTAAGTTGCTTCCCAGACGTGATATCGGCAGCAACGGGGAGGCTCTTGGGACGACGGTTATTATATCACACACCAAGAAAGCCACAGGGAACGTCGCGGCTGGGGAGTCTCCCGGCCCCGATTCATCCGTTCAAACAAACAAAGTCTTCAGCTTTCCCCGTGCGCTGATGTTGAGACCACCCACAGCGCAAAAAGAAGGTGCAAAACATCAGACACAGAGAGTAGACGATGACCTCAAGTACCGGCCGGGATTCAAGCTACGATTGGCGGAGATCGGATCTTCGCCATCCAGAACGTCGGCTCAGAGTATCACTTGGTCATGTTCCCTGTTTCAAGACTGGGATAATCCATTGTTCCATTCGGCGTCTCTTCTCGAGGAGCGTCCGTGCAAAGCACTCTTCTCAGCCTCATAGAGTTATCTTCCGACGACTCTTCACGTTTTCTTGTCTGTTGTGGGGGGAGGAAAGTTTTGTTCCGAGCTGGGACTGCATGGCCATCCTGGACAAAGTCGGGATTTCCTCTTACTCTATTGCGCTCTTTTGCGAGTTGACTCTATACGATTGCTCGGCTTCGTCTCAATAATTTCCCGATTCGGTAGTGGCCTCGGCTCTTTCGTCCAGGCCTTTCAGCCCTCGTTTTCATGCGATAGTCTCATAGTCCTGAACTGATATACGTCCCAAACTTTGCGACCGTTTCATCCGTCCACAAAGTGTTCATCTGCTCGCTCAAGGCAGCGCAAGCTCGCAGCATGACGTGCTTCTGCGACGAAACCTTGAGATTGGCCGTAGATTCTTCGCGATTCGTTCGTATTCATCAGTATACTTCGGATCTGATGAGCTGACAGAGTCGAAAATAGGTATCGGTTGACTCATTTGGAGGTTGAGTTCGCCAAGAGACAATCTCAAATGTAGGAACCTTTGTCTACCTATTTGTCGACAAAATGTAATTGCGGCTGATGGTCGGTTCTGACAACATTGCCACATGCGAGTGAGTGCCGGCTGTCCGAGTTGCTTGATCTTTGCGCATCGGGCAATATGCCAGCAGAGGGATTTCTCCCGATATCTCCGCCAGTCCAAATCGTCTTCTAAGCCTCAAAGCTGACTCAAGGCCCGCCACGCAGACTCTGCGTAATGCGATAGGTCGATTGTTTTTTTTTCCATGTCCAGCCCCCCTAACTCCATAACACCTTCAATTATTGCGCAAAGCCAAGTCCCACCATGACGGCAAGCCAGTCATCCGAAAGTGTATCGTCCCGTCTACAGCAGCTCGAAGTCGTCCAACTTGTCGCGATACTTCATGATGTTTCTCTTGACCTTGCTACCCACGGTCCATGTAACGAAGTCCTCCATGCTGCGGGTAACCAAGAATGCGGGATCGACACATGTTTCCGTGCCCACACGAACATGTCCCTGTTCGATGAGCTTCGTTGCTGCCTGTACGGTCTCGGCCATGCTGCGACATCTCCATTAGCATTATGCCCAAAGAAGCAAGTTGTGAAAGTCTCCTTTTCCATACCGAAGGCGAGTCATGACGACGGGGAGCCGTCGTCTTGCAAAAGCGCTCACTGTGACATTGTGCTCGATGGCCGAGAGCTTCGAGGCCGAGGAAAGAACACCCATGTCGTACAGCTTGTCGAGAAGCAATTGCTCGTGCTTTCGGCGGGCCGCGTTTTCCGGAGGCATCAGGCTGATCCTATGCGCCAGTTGACGGATAGACTGCACAGCCGTATCAGTTTGTGTCTCAATGTGTATTCGACCTCGGACTCGGGGAGATGTTCGTTGAACTTACGCCGCATAGCCTGTTGTATTTGTGCTGTCAATGTTAGCAGTGGTTCGTGATGCGGGCGCCGGCGGCGATACTCACATAATCCTCAGGCTTCTGAATCATGTATCTGCGCACCTATTCGCATGTTAGAGTGTTTCGCGCACATCTCCTCCTCTCTTGGAGTCTACCATACCACTGCGGCGTCTCGGTGGTCGCCATCCTAGTAAGTCTATGTTAGCACAAGCGCCTCGGTGCGCTGCACGGGTGGGGAGCGGTTGATCTCGGTACCTGCTTGTATGTGATGAAGTCGTGCTTCCGCAGAAGCTTCTGCTCGTGATACTTGAGTTTGCGGACCATGCTGGGCTGTTGACGTCGCGGATTCCCAGTTCGGTTTGGCGATTGACGACGGTGACGAGTGGTCGCGGCAGAAGAAAAAGTTCTGGAGCTGGCGGGACAAAAATCCTTATCGCCGCGGAAGCTTATCGGATGAGTGGGGCGGGAGGTTCCGTTGGCCTACCAAAAAATTCCCGTGACAGCTTCAACATCTCGCGACAGATCACGCCTCGCTGGGACATTCGAACAAATCCTCACAAAACTAGCAATGCCTCCCAGACTACCACTCATCTCGGCCATCAAGGCACCAGGCGCCTTGATGGCCCGGGTCGCGCGCCCATTCTCGTCGACACCCGCCGTCGCCCGTACGTCAATGGCCTTTTAGAGCTCCCTTATCCCCGTGGCGCGAAAGCTAACGTCAAGCTTTACAGAGTCCTCCAGCTCCGATCCGATCAAGAACCTTCTGAACCTCGACGAGAAGCCCAAGGTGCACTCAGCCGACCGCATCCGTGGTCTCATCAACAATGGAAGCAAAGCTCGCTTGGAAGGAGCTGCGGCTCGGAAACGCACCATGCTCGAATCTCTCCGCGAGAAGAAGGTCAGCGACGACTATGTCAAGCAAATGCCGCGTCGCTGGCGCACCGGTGAGGTATACGCGCCGCACGATCTCAGCCCTCTCGAGATGGAGAAATGGCGCAGGCAAAAGACCGTCACGGTCGATGTTGTTGACCTTTTGGGAATCAACCCCCTGGACCACTACAGAGTATGTTTCACCGATATTTTCAAAGCCCTCTGGACACTAACTCTGTATTGCAGAACTTCTCAATGATTTCCGAGTACATGACAAACTTCGGACAGATCAGGCACAACAAGGAAACGGGACTGAAGCCGACGAACCAGAGGAAGATGGCAAAGGCTATCCGGAGAGCGATTGGTATGGGTATCCACCCTAGTGTGCACCACCACCCCGAGCTGCTGAAGAAGAGGTTCCGCCTCAATGCGTCGTGGAAGTAGAGACTTTGGGTAGGCTTAGGGTCTGGGAAGGCTTGCATGGCCTGTGAATTTGTCTGCGGACATTGGGAGTGTCTCCCGTGTATGAATTGTACAACATCTTGGCGTCTATTATAAATGTACAGATACAAGAAGCTCCTCCAGTATTTATTGTACACATCATGCCTTCAGCACCCGCTGTAGCTTGAACTTCTTCAGTTTTTCGGGAGTGTAATAGTAGCGGAACTTCTCCACCTCCGCCCACTCCTCTGGGAACTGCTTCTTGACCCACGCCTCGAACTCCCGCTGCAAGCCTTGCCCAGGGAACGCGTTAAATGGGATGCCAAGCCTGTGCAGATGTTAGCTGTGAGCTTTGTAAGAGATGGGAGGGATGAACTCACGTCATGGCATCAGGCCCATACCCAACAGCTCGCTTCATGGTTCTGATCGTGCTCTGGACCTCCTGCAGATTACCATTGCCTGCAAGGCCACCGCAGTAAGAAGCAAAGACTGCCGGTGGAACATCGACCTCCATCTTCTCGATCTTCTTCCAGATATCCCTGGCAATCTGGTCGCCAAAGGCCTTGATTTCGCAGAGGGAGAACACAATCTCGAGACTGTTGTATGATGGGCCTTCTGAAGACCTGACAATATCCTGCCAGTACTCCAATGCAATACTCGGTTTCCTGCATGCTCCGTAGGCAATCATCAAAGCGTTGAAAATCTTTGTGCTGGGCTGGATTTTCGTGTCCATCTTCAGCATGTTATGGACCAACTTCGTGCTGTCCAAGTCGGGACACCTACCCATGCCTTCCAAACATTGAATGTAGGCTTCGCTCTTGGGATGAAATGTTGGGTTGACGTGCTGCCGCATGTGTCCAAATACGTGAACGGCCATGTCAGAGCGCTTGCGGTCAAAGAATGCGTCCATGAGCAGGAGACGGCTCGCAACACTGGTCTCCTGGAAGAACTGACGAAGGATGCAATAGGCGTCCCAAACTCTCGCGGTACTGTTTTTCTTGTCCAAACAGTACGCCACGAATGCATCTCTGATGGATCGCCGTTGTTCGTTGCTGTGTTGAAATACGTTCAGCGACAGTGTGTCGATAATTTCAAATTGCTGGTCGTTTTTGAGGAAGACTGTGCATAATGCGACCACTGTCTCTGGGTCTAATGTGACAATCCGGTCCTCCAAAATATCCAACATCTCGCGTATCGCCGTGGAATTCGGGGTTGCTTGGTAGCATAGCGCTTGGAGATACTTGTTGATCAGGGGCAAGTCGTCTTCTCCGTTCAGCTCCGCCTTGGGAAGCTGCATGTATGCCGCCCTGGCCCCTGACAAGTCCTTTGCCCGGATCTTGAAGTCCATTTGGAGAAGGTATGTCGTTGCATCAGGCCGAATGTCGAGCTCGCTCGCGAACGAGACAAGCCTGTCTGCTAGATAAGGGTCGTTCTTCTCAATCGCAACCTCCAGCAGACCATTGATCGTTTGGGTGTCTGGCAGAAAGGCGCTGTCGTCGGGGTTGTGGCGAGCAACAACATCAAACATGCCCTTGATGTCATCGAGCCCCTTGCCCATGGATAGTACTGCCCATTGATAGATAACATCCCAATGCTCTTTGCTCGGGTTGGCGTCAACAAGCTTCTTGAAGATCGGCGCTGTCCACCCGCGTTGGTTGTTTCTCACTGAAAAATGCAAGATTTCTTTGAAAGCCCTTGGGCTTGGATGCTCGCTGTTGTGTGCTGGCCTTAGGAACCACTTCTTGGTCTCCAAAACATTGTCCTTCTTGGCGAAGAAGGCTGTCATAACCTCATGAAAACTTGACGTGAAAGGCATACCGAGCTTCTCAGCTTTTTTGACAGCCGCCACGAGCTCTGCCTCACGACCTTCCTCTGCCAGCCCCTGCAGGACGTTGACCCAAAGGTTCTGCGCGCCAGATCGCTCTGCTTCAGGTAACTGGTCCCAGTGGTCTTGCAACACAGTAAAGGCCTCGGGAGATGCGCCAAATAATGTCAAGGCAACCAGGTACGACTCGAAGTCCTCTGCAGCACAAGGATCTGTGGGATCCAGTGCCCGTTCCTCCTTGATCGCATCGTACAAGAGCCTTGAAAACTCTAGGTGGTCTTTGGTATCCTCTTTCGGTAACTTCAGCAGCGCTTCCCGCGCGTTCGTCAACTCTGACAAAGTCAGGCCTGGTCCCGGCTCGTCATCCTTATTCTCGAGCAGGTATCTTAACAGATTACGGCAGTGCAAAGCCTGAGTGCTGTTGACGACGATGTTGAAGCGCACTTTGTACGAAAACAAATCCCGAAATGCCTCAACCAGTTCTGTTCTCGACGGCGGCCGTACGCTTTCCAAAAGGCGATTTCTCCATGTCAAGACCGTCGTCCACCCAGGCTCATACTCTGGCTTCTTGATCTGTCTCGGGGGCTTCTGCAGGATGCCGAAGAACGTCCGTCGCTGAGGTCGTCGAGAGAGGGATATTGTCGATACTACCGGGAGCTGTGTGTGACGACATGCTGGGCGAGAAAGAATCGAACAGGCAGGGACGCTGCCCCTAGGAACGAGGACCCGTCGGCAGACATGGCGGGCAAATTGCGCCCTCATGGTGTGGGTTCAGTGCTTTGCGCGAAGGGTTCTTGATGGCGATTAGTTTGAGAAACAATGACACATAGCTTCAAGTGACCGTACCTGGGCACCTCCAGACCAATTCAGAGTAAGCGCGGCATGTGGTGAAGTCCAATGCCGATATTTGAAGCTCCGAAGATTTGCGAATGGAATTTGGGGACACTGGAGCTCCCGGGACTTGGAAATCGCGGTAGCTGCCACCAAAATGCGACCCGCGCTTGTGGAGGACCCGCAGATTACCCGTGCTTAGTCATAATCCTCTTTACACCCACCAGCACATTTGGTGTCAATGACCTCAATGACACTTAGAACCTCAAGAATCTCTTTCTCATCAATGGAATAAAAAGCTACCTCAATATCGAACTTCCATCGCAATCACTAGTTCCTGTGAGTTATCTCTCGATCGTAAAACCGTGTTCTGTTACAGAATGTGAATTGCACATTATAGTTCTCTTGTATCCATGAACCAATCATACTTTGCCCAAGTCAAAGCACCATTATCGTCATCGGTGGATCCAAGCATTCATCCGTATCCAGACTGATTTGGATCACTCTCAAGTAATAAGCAGACTATCTTATATTGCCTAGCGAGCTGGTGAACATTGAGAGCTGAGTGGGTTTACAGTTACTGAAACTACCTAAGCGCGTCATGGGAGCTAACAATGATGTATAGATAAACTAGCACCACTGAAGGACCACTCAGCCTTGATTGGCAGTATTGGAAACGTCAGAACGGACCGCTTGTGAACGATGACACAGATCTCATGGCAAATAATCATGAGATGGCAACCGTTGATGTGCCGTTAACCTCTGTGGGCGGCAGTTAGATGCCGACGGGAAAGATTCCAGTCGACTCGGAGAACCAACTCCTAGGCCTAGTACTCATATAACACGAGAAACGGGCGCGTGTGCGTTCAAATCCGGGCTATGACCAGAGTTGGCACCTCGGTGTCAAGTGTTCTCTCCCCATTCTTCTGTCTTCGCTGGGCCGCATGAAGCACAAACACGCTCAGACCCACGATGAAGTCAGTGCGGAACCTGAGCTTAGCTACGATGTCATGGGAACTGGTCCATTCAAGCTGTTCGAGTGAGAAGCATTTAGAGTGCAAGTGCACCCAGCCAACCTGTTTTCGAAGGCATCGGTTTCCACACCCTGCAGTTGCAAATTGGTTCTAGCAAGAGAAAGAACAAAACGACGACGAATCTTGACCTGGTAGTCAGCTCAAGACGTTCACGTACCGTCCTTGTAAGTCCTTGCAGGCGCAAATTTACGCTTATTGAGCATTGCTTACCACGAGTAGGATACCTGAGAAGGATTCGGTACTTTTTATCCCGTTCCGGAGTGTAGTCCGACTTAAGCCGCCGGGCAGACTGATACCCCGATAGCTCGACGACCTACCGCCCAACTAGCCGTTGAATCCTCCAACCCGCGCACCTCAAACCAACGGCGATATGTCAAGATCTCGGAGTTCCAGCCGCGGGTCTCTTGCGAAACAGACAGCAACACCACCGCAAAGGACGCAGCAGTTCAAGAGGAAGAATGGTGGCAGAAATGCCCAGTGCTACTTCTGTTGCTGCTGGTGCTGTTGGATAGTCCTCACCTTAGTCGCCTTATCCTGTGGCTCCATCCTCCTGATGGCTGCCTCTCTTCCATTGCCGGAGTCGGAGCCGCTCACCTCCTAGACTGGGGCCGAAAGCACAAAATCCGGTAACTCCAGTTGGCCAACGACCGGCTTCATGATAGTTATCCTTAAGTTGTGACGCTGTAGGATGCATGCCTCGGTCCAGCAGCCGTGCATGGCCTTTCTATGCGTTCCAGCTCACGACACAGACTGGAGCTCAAGGGGGATGTAATTAGTTGTTGCCTGATCAAGCCAACGTGGGGCCTCCGCTCATCCAGCAGTTTTTCCACAGGCCCTTCTTTTCCAATCTCTTTCCATCTTCCTTCGATGAAGATATCCACCATGCCAGACTTAATCAACACCGTTTCTCAGGTCGCTTTATCCCTTGTCGCCATCGGAAACCCCCTTCAGGCGATGGTCCAATCAGTGCCCCGTCCTGGCTCAGGAGAGGTCTTGATCTGCGTCGAAGCCACTGGTCTCCTAGCCCTTGATCAAAAACTCCGCGACTTCGGCGTTTTCAATATTGCTTCCCGCCTTCACTTGGTGCTCGGCATCGATATCGTCGGCACGGTCGTCGAATACGGGATGTCGATTGCTCCAAGTAATGTCCCCTTCCCCCCTATCGGTACTCGGTTCTCCTTCAGGGAAATCTTCGTCGACCGCATGCCGGCGTCTTGGCCCCGTACGTTGTCGCCGATTCTCGACTCTTGATTCCCGTCCCAGGGGCAATGTCGTCCCTCAAGCTGCAACACTAATCACCAACCCCTTCACTGCGGCTCTTTCTCTGTTCCACTCGTCTGGCCTGGGGGTTCCCTTTCCTAGCACTGATACGACCTTCGAGTACCAAAAAGCCCATGTCATTGTCCTTGGCGCGGGCACAAACGTCAGCACTCTCATCGTTCGACTAGCGGCGATTGCGGGCATCGGAACCATCATAGCCACCTCTTCCAAGGCCTCCTTTGCAACACCCCAAACCCTTGGGGCAACTCATGTCATAGACCGGTCCTCCTCTTCTATTCCGTCTGATGTTCAGACCATTCTCGGTTCTCTTCCTTTGAATGTCGTGGAGACATATGCGTCTGGCCATCCCACTCTAGCCGCTTCTCTTTTCATTCCCACCAGTGTTTCGAAAACCATCGTCATGTTGTCCTCCTCAGCCGGTGCCGACATTGATGCCTTAGCTGAAAGGGGTATTTCTTTGCGCAACGTCTATGGCTCCTTCGAGGCCCATCTTGGTATGTTCCAATCCTGGGCCGTGGCTCTTACCAAGTGGTTGTTGTCTGGCGAGTTGGAGGCCCCCTCTCATGTAGTAATCCCCAGTGTCGACCCGCACCTCGTCAACGCCGCACTCGATGACATCGGGAAAGGTGATGGAGTAAGATATGTCGTCGACATAGGAAGAGAGGATGATGTGGGGGAGGACAGAGGAGATATATAGACGAGAGAGTGGAGGCAGACAGGTTGGATAGCCGGGGGGGTAGACCAGAGGCACAGCAAGCTAAGATGCCGGGGGGGTTGTACGAGACCCGACACTCTACGGACGATCTTGTCCCATCATCGCCTAACCTGCTGCCGTCGTCATATCGGATGACAGCTCGAGCCAGGATGTATATCCTTCACTCTGTCGGTCAAGAAGAAATCACCCGATGACCGAGAAGACCGGCCAAGAGAAAAGAAGGAATGAAAGGACGAGGGAGTGCATAGCAGGGGGCTCAGGCAACAAGACGAGAGATCACCGACTTACCGCAATATAGTCCCAGTATGCTTCTTTAACCCCCCCGCGGGATTCATGTAACACTTTTCTAGTCTTCCCCTCTCATTTGTCCAAGTTGCTAGCGACAGAAGTCCGTTCCAGACTTGCATTGGCTCCTGGCTCCGCCCCCCTCTCTCTCTTCTCCTCTCGTTGCCCTGCTTCTCTCTACTCCAGCCCGTGCCATGAGAGAGCCTAGTTGCTTTACTAACTTTAAAGCTCTCCTTTGACTTGTCTGTGTTTCGAGTCCGCGCGGCATCGTTGATCACGAGGGCGTGTACTAGAGTCCTGTATGGCTGGATGAATACGGTTGATTTCCATCTAGTCCCACGGCGGCAGGGCAAAGTGGGTGTGGGAGAATGCCTCCTGAGGCGTTCACGTCTGCGTTTCAGAGATGCAAGTGCAGCTTGCGCTGACTGGCTCTGGTCGACTTTCAGCGCAGCCTCTATCTCAACCTCATAGGACGCCGGCCAGCTCCGCGCTCTATGATTTCTTCCTGGCGCCGGCCGGTCTCATCCAGTGACGGGTCTCAGATTGACGTCGCGTTTGCGTAAGGCTTCTCTGAGCTCTGATATCGGGCGAAGAGATCCTGGAGTTTCGTCGGAATGCAGTTGTCTGAAGAGTCAGAAGAACAAGAACAGATGGAAACAGAACCAAACGTTGAACAGGAAGATGATCAGAGGGGGTGCACCGAGAAGACAAGAGAGGGGGGATTGGAAGGGACTAAGCCTAGTGCTGCCATCTGAACATCATCCTGATGTCGGTGATCCGAGGGACATTTGATTGACGGTTGACGTCTCGACCGTGCGTCGTCGTTTACGCTCCTCTCAACACCCCACGATGGAGCTAAAGGAAGCGTTCGGGTATGGACTGGCCATCACATCGCCGAGTCGACAAGGCAACCGGTCCACGCCAAGAAACGCAGCTACCGGACGAAATAACAAAGTGCCAACCGCATTCATACGAGATTTTCGAATGGCCCGGCACGCTTACCGGCCAGGATCATCGCCAGATGGGACCGGGTTGTCAACGGCCCGGAGAGGGTTCTATTTTCAGTCTGCTTGAACTACAAACTGATATACTATTCACACGGGTCAACACAGAAACAGTGTGTCAGAAAAGGATCCAAGGAACTCCGGATAACTACCGTGGTCAACTGCACGCGCGTGGCACGAAATACGCAACTCCGGAGCACCGCACCGGGGCCTGCTTGCTGCAGTTGAGAAGAAACAACGACCAGGTTGCCATTCACACAACCTTACCCCTTCCCAAGTGTCAGCCGGATGGCGTTCCTCTTCACTCCGTCAGATCAGGGGAATTGAAAGCCAGGAACAATGTTGGCAAGCAGGGCAAGGCAGGGGACGGCTTCTAACCCCCGTTGCCCGGAGCCGGGGGGTGGAAGGTGGACAAGGTCGCCCAGGGCGACGGGAAGGAGAGTAACTCAATGGATTGAGATCCTAGGAGGTGTGTGATACACTTTACAGACATTGTTGCCCAAAAGAGCGAGAATGCAACGAGGAAGACGCTTACCGGCATGATAGACCGGTCAACTCGGGCACGACATCTCGAACATGACCGACTGCGGACTTGGGAACGTCTAGACCGCAGTCGTCTATAGTGTCATATCCTGACAAGAAAGATCTTCAGCGTCACCGTCCTGGTAAGTATTAAGTTTCGGGCAACTCAAGTAACCGACGTTTACAATACAGGATTTAGTATCAGAACTAGAAACCTGGTCCAACTCCGGACTGCATCGTCTATTCAGAACTGCGTCGAAGACAAGCTGTATTACAGATACATTACTTTTCAGACTCAAGAGGCACTTCTGAATAGAAACCACCGCTCTAACGAAAACAACCAATCCACCAATACAACCTCTACTGAAGGATTAAGAGTTGGTATTCTATCACCTGGTCCTGTAACCACCGGATGCCGTCGTCCGGTCCTGCAAGAAGCAACAGAAGGAACACCGCGCGCATAACGTCCGTCCGGGGGCGGCACTATCCCTACCCTGGACGTCCCGTCGTCGATATTGCGGCTCCTTGGCCATGCCCCAGACCTGAGGATCAGCACGTTACCGAGCCGCGAAAGGCTTAGCCTCTTGGGAGGTACAATGACTGCCGGGCTTGCTTGCGGTATTTCTTTTCGTACACGGACACTCTATTGTTATTTCCGGACGCCGTGTATCTGACTGTCCGTTGAACCTATTTTCAATGATAGCTGTCAATTCTGAACCATAGCCTGGGTGACAGTTGCCACCCAGGCCAAATCTGAAGTCGACGTCCGCCAGAGACAACAACAACAACAACAGCAGCACTTCCAGATATTCAAGACTTGTAGCAAGGGATGACAGACGGGAGTGCGGGATAAACGGACAAACTTCCCGCTGTGCATGAACGACTTGTACAGGAAATCGTGGGGTGTGTAGAACCTCCACCACCGTCGCCCGACGATGCAACAGTGAGATTCACCTTGCCCATCTTGTACCTCCCACAGCTAATGTGACAGTCTATCCGGACGTTAACCCTTTAGACAAACTGAACAATGGGAAAAAGAGACAGAATTTGGGAACTTTGATGGCGTTCGTTCGAAGCTCTGCTCCCCCTCCGTCCGAAGCGCAACGACCCTTAGTTGGGGGTCCGAAGTTGTCAACTCCGTCGAATTGTCCGTGGGACACTACCGCACCGCAAGACAAGGAATAACACGGACATGTTCAAAAATCTATCCCTTGATCTACAGAGAACCTTTTCTTTCAACTTTGAAAAGAAAACTGCCCAATTGATTGGTGCTGCAGGTACCGAGACTCCAATTCTTCGCCTGACTGGGCGGTGGTGGGCAGCCTGCCACCCTTCGAACGACGTCGTTTCCCGCTCTCCAATATTTTCGGTCTTCTCGGGCAACTCCTTCAGAGCCTCGCACCCGGCGCCCCGGCAGGAGAAGGAAAACCATTGAGTATGGGGACCCACCTCATCGGTGTCGGTCGGTCGTTCGGTCGGTTTCCTCGGCGACCCTAGCAACGCGCACTTGACTTGCATCATCGCTTGATGGAGGAAAGGAGAACCGGCGAGGATGGAAGAGAGAGGAAAAGGGCCTAACGCATTCTCCCGCTTCAGCCTTGCGCAAGACGAAAGATCCAAATCGACTGACGTCTGCTCTCGGACGGGATCCTTGTTCGGGGGCATCAGAAACCAAACCCATTCCTGATTGAACCCTCATTACCGACACCATGGGCTTTGACAAGAGATGGAAAACCAGCTGACAGCGGCGGGACGGTGGGAACAGACCTCAGCTTCTGCCAAGTCGAGTCGAGGCCATCATGATACCCGTACCTGTACCCGCACCCGTACCTGGCCTGGCGTTATCTCCCAGTCCTCCAAGCTGCCCTCGTCGAAAGGATGCGAAGCCCTGAGCTGACATCTCCATCCATCCATTCATCCATCACGACGGCCCCATCACCAAAAAAGGCCCGTAGGGCTGGGCTTGGAAATTGGAAGCTGACGTGGGCACCATCCAAGGCTCGAACTGGGGTAACACGACACACAAAGTCCAAAGATCCCAAAATTCCAATAGACCAACGGGGGAACCTCACACAAGCGTAATGTAGCCCGCTTACCCACCCGCCCGCCATCCCGCATATCCTTGGGTACGACCGTTACTCAAAGATTGTGGCGCCCCGTCACACACACATCCACCCACACCATGCCGGCCTCGGTCGAGCGAAAATACGCCTCTGCAGAATACGCCGTGCATCGCCCTCTGCACATCTGTACCTGTGCGGGTACCACCGTTGTAAAATTCCAAAGAAACGAAACCTGTCCCTTCGCGATCTCGGTACAAGTTCTATTTGGAGAAACTCTTTCCTCTCTCTCGCGACGCGAACAGATGACGAGCTGACGAGGCGAGGCGAGGCGAGGTACGGCGCGGCACGGGAGGGACAAGGCAAAGGCAAGGCATCTCGGGAGTTGGGCGTAAAGTACGCCCATGTAAGACACGAGACGAGTCAATTACATCAACGTACATTAGGGATTTCTCGATGGACGACGCAAGAGAGAGGGAACAAGCGGCGGGGAAAATATGCCTTACAATCTATCCGCTGAAAGCCCCCCATGCTTGTCAGACGAAATGGACCATCCCTTAACGGGCTCTAAGTTGACTTGCCCGCATCCGTATATGCAATCTTTCGAAATTGATCGAGGATGTACGACAGGCAACTACGACTGGGGTTTTCTGTTTCTTGCTAAGACCGTTTGAGACGAAAGACGCAATTCATTAATCTCAGCAATAGTTGGATGCCTAACGTGTGCGGGATCAAAAAGGGATCTTTGGTATTCAAGAACTACAGTGGGCAAGGGGTATAGGAATCCAGGCCCTGCTCAGGATCTAGATAGAGGCACCAAAGTGGCAAGATGTCAGATTCTCTCCAATTGCGGTAATATTGAGTCTTTAAAGAGACAAGAGGAATCACGGCTAAACTTGAACCTCCATCCAAGCCGAATCCTTTTTGCTTCAAAGCCCACATCTAAAATCCACAATGCCATTGGTATTTCTACTTACCAAAGTCCCAATATCAACAACTAATTTTCTTCACAATGGAGAAGCGAAAAGACGTTATCATTTCTGCCCACAACTACTTACCCGCCCACCCATCAGCCCCAGTTGTCATCATTGCTTATTCTGCATGGCCGACCGAGGTGGTCAGCTTTCGAGACATGGTGCCCTGTTGGGCTGCGTGGGCTGCAAGCCTGCAAAAGCCCCGCGGCGGCTGCATTCCCCCTCCAAATCTCACTCATCTCTTAGCACGGGAGTCAGTTAAGACTCAGAACTTCAAGAAGTCCTCACCGACAAGCGAACGAGTAGGAGAGTCTTCCGCTGCGCCCCAAGCACGCAGGTCTCGGAAAATGAAAGCGTGCGCGGGCGATCCCAGAAGGAATCCCGGTAATGCGGGCCTCGGTATTAGAGCACCCCGGTTTGGGTGATGCGGAGTCATTTGTTTGGTTTACGTGTTTCTCTGGGCGCCTTTTGTTCGTACCATGTACCCAATCGTTGTAGATGTTCCTCATAACCCTGGCTTGGGCTAGCGGAGATAGCACAATGAGTTGCGGGTGCGACATCTTCGTAAGACCTCGGTCGTGTCGGCCGGCCGGCCAGCCATAACTTCGTTTTTGGGTTGTGTCACAACCAGAGAGTTGTCACACAACCAAAAGATAACCTGTCACCAAGCTGTCTCCAATCCAACGGAAACATTGACAGGAGTCAACTTGGCAGAAGAAATGGCGTCAGACTTCTCCTTGACACCACCAAAATAGGCAACCCCCCTTCAAGTTTCCATTGCCACGCCGTATCATGTGGTGTCGCTGATGGCAGCATTGT